TACTCTTAATAAATAATAAATATACTGATTTAATAAATAATACATATTGACTTAATAAATAGTAAATATAATGATAATAATAATACATATATTAATTTAACACATAATAAATATATTGATTTAATAAGTAATAAATATGTTGATTTAACACATATTATATTGATTTACAAAAACAATACATATATTGATTTAATAAGTAATACAGATATTGATTTAATAAGCAATAAATATATAGATTTAATAAATAATAAATACATTGATTTAACAATTTATATATATTGATTTAATAAGTAATACAGATATTGCTTTAATAAGCAATTAATATATTGATTTAATACATAATAAATACATTGATTAAGTAAAAAATAGATTGATTAAATAAATAATAAATATATAGATTTAATAAGTAATAAATATATTGATTTAATAAGCAATAAATAAATTGATTTAATAAATAATAAATATATTGATTTAGTAAGTAATAAATATAATGATTAAATAAATAATAAATATATTGATTTAATAAATAATAAATATATTGATTTAATAAATAATAAATATATTGATTGAATAAATAATAAAAATATTGATTTATTAAGTAATAAATATATTGATTTAATAAGTAATAAATATATTGATTTAATAAGTAATAAATATATTGATTTAATAAGTAATAATTATATTGATTAAATAAATAATAAATATATTGATTTAATAAATAATAAATATATTGATTTAATAAATAATAAATATATTGATTTAATAAATAATAAATATATTGATTTAATAAGCAATATATAGTAATTTAATAAGTAATACATATATTGATTTAATAAATAATAAATATATTGATTGAATAAATAATAAATATATTGATTTATTAAGTAATAAATATATTGATTTAATAAATAATAAATATATGGATTGAATAAATAATAAATAAATATATTGATTTAATAAGTAATAAATATATTGATTTAGTAAGTAATAAATATATTGATTAAATAAATAATAAATATATTGATTTAATAAATAATAAATATATGTATTTAATAAGCAATAAATACATTGATTTAATAAATAATAAATATATTGATTTAGTAAGTAATAAATATATTGATTTAATAAGCAATAAATACATTGATTTAATAAATAATAAATATATTGATTTAATAAGTAATAAATATATGGATTTAATAAGCAATAAATATATTGATTTAATAAATAATAAATATATTGATTTAATAAGTAATAAATATATGGATTTAATAAGCAATAAATATATTGATTTAATAAATAATAAATATATTGATTGATCGTATAAGGGTTTAACGTGCATATTGTGGTTTAATACTTCACATCTTTACAGGCAGATATTTACAAGAGTGACTCAAATGTGTGTGTGTGTGTGAGTGTTTCAGTATTTATTTCCATTATAATGGTCTGTCAAAAAGAGGAGGATAGGTAGAAAATAATCTTTACCTCTAAATTGACTTCATTCAGTAAATTGCAAATGTGACAATACTATAATGATTAAATAAATAATAAATATATTAATAAATCATAGGAGGGAGTTTATATCTTTACAGCCAGACGTTCACAAGTGTGACTCAGATAGGTGTGTTTCGGTATAATAAAGGACGGTTACCTCGACGGGAAATGTGTGGTTTATTCACCACTGATGGGGAGGAAAAAACTGAATGAAGAAGGGGACGCGTGAAGAGCGAGGGGACGCCCCTAAACTGGTGGAAACAACCTACACTGAGAGATTGATGTGGTCAGAGAGGAAAGTTCCCGCACAGGATTCTTCCCAATCGTTTAACAGGTCAAAGTTAAAGTAGAGCATTAATAATGATGATGACAGGAGGAACACTAAACAAAGTGTGTGTTTGTAAACAGTATTCAGAGCGTTTAACTGAACGCACGGGTCCAGATGTTCAGATTCTCATGATTGCGTCACTTCCCTTTTCTGAATAGAGTTAATGGAGATCTTTCACACAGATGCAGCGACAGGTGGACGAGAGTCTGACATCACAGCAATAATTAAACAGACAGGTGTGTGTTTGTGCGAAACAGACGGTACTTTCCATATGTTAGACACACACACAGCTCACTGATATAATGGTTAGATATATTTAAACATTTGTGCATGCACTGTTACTTCAATGCACATTATTAAACTGTCAAATAAAGACATTTGTTGACTTGATTGGTTATAATTAAGCCAGGTGTGTGTTGTGCGAACAGGCAGTAAGGACTCGACAATAAGAACTGCCCAATGGCCCGAGGACAGCATGCGAGACACTCGGGACAGTGCACAGGATGGTTACTGGTCCGACCAGGTCAGTGCTGCCCTGTCACTAAAGTTTAATTTGGCTGCGACTGTCTGTCAATTGCGTGTAAAAACAGTCTTACGCCTTAATCACACTGCACGCGAGAGCAGCGTGCAAGCAGATCGTCTGCTGTGTGCACACTTCAGTCCTTTTCACACAGTGATACC